TAGTCGTCAACAGTAAGGAGGCAAGTATAGTTCAGTACCTCCTCATTTCTGAAAAAGTATGTTTATTGTAAATGCCATGCCCTGACATTTATATAAAAATACTTCAGAAGAAATAATGTGCTTGGTCATTAAAAATTTAATTGGACCAAATAAGCTATCCATATGAACTCAATTGAGAAAGTAGGAGCACAGTGGAGTGAAAATGGAGACAACTGTACTTGAACAGTAATAAAAAAAAATAAAAAGAAAAAAGAAAAAGAAAGTAGGAAACTGCTTAAACCTAATTCCACCCACCTCAATATAGATATATGGTATACCTCATATACTCAATCTTGGTTTCTTAGGTAAAATTTAAGACTATTGGTCTTGTCAACCACATGGTTAAACTGAACAATATTATAATTGAACTCCTTTTGCTGCCTAGCAGTGACACTGAGCAGTGCTGCTACCACAAATCAGGAAGTTTTGTGATGACAGCCAGGCCCCACAATGACTCCTGGACACCTGGGATAGTTTCCTAGGCTGTCAGGACAAGGTAATGGGGATACCTGGTCACAACTCCATGTTATCTGGGAGAAGTCTCCCCATCTTAGCTGGCCTCTGTGTGAGGATTTGACTAGGGTTTAGCACAAAGTAGGGCAGTCTAACTGTCAAATTGAGTACCAGCTTCATTTACTGGGTCTGCTCAGCGTGGGCTGACCTCTAGTGTGCTCTTCTGAGGGATACACACTTCCATGACCATTATTTTGGATGTCAGAAGGTAAGTGATACTCTTGCACATTTCTGTGAGTCACTCATAAAAAGACACCTTAAACCCTAACCAGTGTTCCTCAGTTGGATGGATATTGTGCTGCAAAGCAAAGGGTTGCTGGTTTGATTCCCCGTCTGGATTGTGACCCGCGTGTGAGACACAACCAATCAATGATGTTTCTCTTGCTCATTGATTTCTCTCTCCCTCTCTTTCTCCCTTCCTTCCCCTCTCTCTAAGAATAAATAAAATCTTTAAAAAAATAAAAATGGGGCACTAAGTTCAGAATAACCCTATTTTTTATTTATCAGGAAACAGAATAAGGAAATAGGGACCAAGAAAAAAAAAGCTGTGGGAATTAGAGAAGGAAGGATGTATCCATTCTTTCTTTAGCCAAGTCTCATCTGGCCCCCACCAAACTTGTTCCATCTCTTCCCAAAGTTTATCTCTCCCCTCAGCCAACAGAGAGGGGAAGAACTTCAGTCACTTCTGTGAATACAGGATTAATTGGTAAGACCCAAGTACTGTGGCATTTTGGGAGAAAGATGTAGTTCATCATTTTTTACCAAATCAACAGAAAAGGTAATAAGACAAAGGTAATCATCTTTTGAAGGGAGCATTTGTTAGGTACAAGACCTTCACCTGTCCACTTTAATATTACTGCCAGCTAATGGCAGACCCAACTGTGACCTGAGAATGGGAACATAGCAGTATAAAGTTCCATATAGCTCTTGTAACAACTATAACTCAATAGAAAACACATATGACTAGCCACTGGGAATGAGGGGCATTGCTCAAGTGAGGACTTTAAAGTCAGTGGGTGTGTCTTTCACACTTTCAGGGTGGCAGGAACCCCATTTGTTTCTGCTTTGCCCTGTGATAGCTGACTGAGATCTCAACATTTCCAAGAGGTATCACAATGCGCTGAGCAGTCATAATACAGGAGAGCGTTCTCATTGTGGAATATTCTAGATTCAGCAGTGCCTGGAACATTCTGGAATCTCACCCTGGCACATTCTAAAATCACCAGTGCTTGGCCCTGGCCCATACCCATGAAGTCAGGCTCTGGCAATAGTGCTTGAGTATCAGTATTTTTGTTTAAGACCTCAGGTGATATTAATGGCAGCTGGGATTAAGGCCATTCTCTTATACTGATAGTTCATACGAACCTGGACAGCAGCGATGATATAAACAATTTCAATGGTTTTCTTGACCTGTTTAGGCTCCTTTGCCTCCCTTGACATTGTTTTTGCCCCGTTTAAATCTACCCACCCCACTGTGTCTGTGTCAATTTCTTTCTTTTTCTTTTTTAAAGAATAATCCATCAAGTCAGAAAATGAAATGCTCAAATAGGAAATGCTCTACAGTCTAGGATTTTCCAGTGATTTAATTATCTAATTACTGGAGCTGGCTGCCAAGCACAAATGATTTCATTCAGTCTCACTATTTTATAACACAGTTCAAAGAACATTTGAATTTCTAATTCAATTTTTGTTCTTTTGAGACTATTCTACAGAGTTTTGTATATCTCTAATGATAGCTCCATTATTGGACTTATAATCACTTTGGGGTTGTACTTCATTTCTGGAGTATATAACACATACGCTGAAGGAGGACTGGTGCTGAGATGGCTTAATTATTCTAACTCGTTTTGTCTTCAATAGACTCCCCTGATGGAAAAGACAGGGGTTTGAAGGGAAGGAAAGCTGGCAGAGACTTAGGATCCAAGGACTGAGGCTGCCACAGCAGCCGGCTTAGGAGACAAGCTGCTTATCTTTTCCATGTGACTTCTCTTTAGAATTGTAAACACTTCTAAGCTCCAGAACAGGCCTGCTCACTGTTCCTCACACCCCCATAGCCAGAGAAGAGCGGGGCAGTTCTGGGAAGTAAAGTAACTTGTGTGGTTAAGACAGCATTCCCAGACCTTGACTGGGGAGCTGCTTTGTTTGAGAAGCTATGATTCTGCAACTGAGACTCCACAGTTCAAGGGTTGCAAGGAGTGGCAAATTGTGGGAGGTTCCTCCCAGCCAGCCAGAGGACCAAACAATGCCAGACACCTATCGTGTGATATCATAGCCACACACATCACAACCTGGGTATCAAACTCACCACATTTCAGCCATGTTTATGTTACAGCAATTCCAGCCCTGCCCTCAAATGTACAAGTGTTCACTTTTGAAAGCAGTAGGCACTACCATACAAATGATAGATCTAGGAATTGTTTTTCTTGTGAGGGTCCACTGAGGAGTGACAATTTCCAAATGGCCAGCAGGTGGCAGTACATGGAAGGAGCAGTGTGAGAAGGGGCTTACCCTCCATAAACCCCAGGTTAAGAACCTGGGAGAGGACAGACCCTCTGGGTCCTGCACATGTGTTGTTTGGCTTGCAGAGCACTAAATAATTGGGTTTTAATTATTTTACATTAAAAAATGAATACAGGCCCTGGGTGGTGTAGCTCAGTGGATTGAGCGCAGGTCTGCGAACCAAAGCATCGCCCGTTTGATTCCCAGTCAGGGCACGTGTCTGGGTTGCAGGCCATATCCCCAGTATGGGGTGTGCTAGAGGCAACCACACATTGATGTTTCACTCCCTCTCTTTCTTCCTCCCTTCTCCATCTCTCTAAAAATAAATAAATAAAATCTTAAAAAAATGAATACAGATATTTCACATAAAATGTATATTTCCTGATTTTCTGGAAATGCTAAAATGTCCAGGGACATGAACTCTAGTGTCCCTAGACATTCTTTCAGGTTAAGAGCGGCCTGGGGTTGAGTGGTGACTGTCCTTTCAAGGGGCCACCTTGCCATTGTCCCTCCTCCGCTTCACTTGTTAAGTTACTGCCTGGATGCCGTGGGCATTGGACTTTGTCACCAGGTGCACACCCTCAGCCTAATCCATACACTTCATTTCACTGCAGTCTTTAAAATTGCAAAGCAAGGAGAAGCTAATGCAAAGGATGGGGAACGTCACAAGTGACCTGGTTCAGGAAAGGATTTAAATGAATTTGCATGGGATATCCAAGGTGTGTGGGACGTTGCCTGAGGGACAGTGTAGCCTTGGAGATCTGAGCACTGGGCCATGTTGTTGGGTGCACTGGACCTTACAATCTCTGACAGGGCCTCCTCTCAAGGTCCCTGGCTCTCTGTTTATTTTCCGGTAGGTACAGAGGGAGTGGAAATCTTCTTCTTGGCTTAAGAAGATGGTGACAAATGTAGGGCTCATGCACCTGTGAACTGAAGGGAGGAGGGGCTGCCCTCTGAAGCCCTTTCTTTATTGGACCTCTCTGGCTGCAGGGGTGACACCCCATTGGCTACTATTGATGCCACACCCGTGTGGCTGCTCCAGGCTCCTGGGTGGTTTCATCTTTTACCAATATTTGAACTATGAACTTCTCAAAGTCAAGGAAGCTGCCTGAGTATAGTCTGAGCCAGCTCTGCGTCCTTGGTGATCAACCTCCTACCGAGGGCAGGAGGCATGAGGCTGACACACAGAGCAGACACATGACCTGAGGAAGAGAGGAACCACCCCAGCTGCTCCGTACCCACAACCAGGAGGTACATAATTCTGCTTTGTCAGATTTATGGGACTTGCTCACCAAGATTCATGACACGAAGGGTCATTTTCTCTCCCTTTTGGTTCCCACATAGTGTACATATTCCTCAACAGTGGAAAAGGGTAAGTAAAATATGGAACATACTATCTAGATAAAATGCAGATGTTTTTATCAACAAAATCATCCATGATGCCTTCTTTTCCTTGTGGATTAATCTTCTGGCTTACACTTATATTTCTAAGTATATCGTAGTTTCTTGCAAAAAAAAGTTAGCTGACTGTCTCACCATTGTGCCTGCTCGTTGCAGAGAAGCCAGGAGCCGAAACATTAAGCAGGAAGTCTTAACTGTCTGTTTGAATGCTCCAGTTGCTCCACAGGGCTCCTTTGCTTTAAGCTCTCTCCTCAGAAAAACACCTTTTAATGGCCTTTTCATGTGTAAGAAAGAGCAAGCAGAGCTGGAAAAAGTGGTTTTACATTGACTGTGGTTGCAGTGGAAGGCTCTAGACTAAGACTGTGTGTGTGTGAAGGAGGAAAGCATGCCTTTATGGCTCTACTGTTCATGTCTTCAGTTCACCTGTAGGAAAGGATGGTGGAAAGAACCCTGGGAAGGTACCTGGGGCTGGGAATGTGGGAAGAGGAGAAAAGTGACTTTGGGCAACTAAGACAGATGACATTGACTACAAGGAATGCTGTCTGTACCTGGAGCTGTCGCATCTGCTGCAGCTGGAGCTTGAGTTCTGCCACACTCCGCCTCATGTCGAGCAGGCTCAGGTGGACAGCCGAGGTGCTGGGGGGCAGGGGCTGGCTGAACGGCCCTGTGGACTCCAGGGTGCCAAGAGTCTTCCCGCCAGAGACATGGGGAGTTCCTATGAGAAAAGAGCAGCAAAAAACCTAAGAAAGCCAGAAAGGAAAGTCTAAGCAAAGTCCCATCCCCAAACAGATGACTTGGTAACTCTAAAAATGTCCATTGCCTTCATTGGGAGAAAATTATGTTGGTCCTCCAAATGGCAAAATACGGAATTAAGTTTAAAGAAATTATGGAAACTTCATGCAGTGTTATAGCATATAGTCTGTAAAAGTCATGTTCCTCACTGCCAAAGGGAGGCAGACCAGCGCAGTATTTAAAGCACGGTTAAGGAAGCTAGCTGTCTGTCTGTCTATCTACACAACTTTAAATGTGCACGTTTGCAAAGAGAAAAGATCAGATGTATACGTAGGAAAGAATTACCAGTATCTCTAGCTGCTGGTATTCCATGAGTTTTATATTTTTTATATTACTACTTTTTCTACTTTTAAATCTTCATAGTGAATATCTATAATTTTATAACAGAAAAATAATTTTAAAATTCTGGGACCTAAGTGTGTCCATAGGTATTTCCTGCAGGCAATATGCACCTGGGAACCCCAGGAACCCCAGGAACATGCACTTAGTTCTGAGCAGAGGTTTGGCTGATCACTGAGGGAAAACTAGTAAGAATTCAGTATTCTCCTGAATCTTTTCAGCTTTCCCAACCTAAAGAGCAGGACCTCTGCCCCCATCTTGTTTAGTGAGAAAATCAGATGTGATATGAAAATCCGTTAGGAGAGGAATCAAAGCAGCAGAAAGAAACTCTTCCTAAATAGTTTCTAGCTGCCATAAACTTTGTCTCCTTGAATCCAACTCAAGTCTTATAAGTTCATTTGGGGAGGCCCTGATTTAACTAAGTTTCTTTTAAAAGTAACTCAGACCTGTCCAGGCAGTTCAGTTGGTTGGAGCGTCATCCCAATGCACCAGGGTTGTAGGTTTGATTCCCAGTCAGGGCACAAACAAGAATCAACCAATGAATACATCAACAATTCGAACAACAAATCAATGTTTCTTTCTCCTTTTCTCTTTCTTCCTTCCTTTCTCTAAAATCAATCAATAAATTTTTTTAAATGCCTCAAAAGTGGTCCCAAGTAGCACTTACAGGATGAGCAAAGTACAAGGAAGCTATTTATTATTTATTTATTTTTGCACAATGCATTTCTATGCAAGTGGCCACCGGAGTGGTATTCTAATCTCTCATCTCCCTCAGTCACTCACATGCATGCGTGCGCACACACACACACACACACACACACACACACACACAGCCTCTGAAAGAGCTGTTATGCTCTTTCCTGTAAAGGTTAAAGTGGAGGATCTGCAATGGGCCAGGCTGGCCTCCCACCATAGAACCCTGTCATGGCTTTGCCTACAGTTGGAGTGGTTTCAGCGCGGTGGTCTGTCTTCCTATCTTGGCTCAGCACCCATGGGGACCTCTCCTTTCCCAGAACAAGCAGAGCTGCTGCCCTGAGCTACAGGTGGAGCATCAGTGAGTGAGGGGCCACCTCACAACTGTCCTCTCAATGTGTGGCCCCAGCAACATGGATGGAGAGCTGATGGCACACCAAGTCCCTCACCTGGATGGAACTGTTGCCCAGCCCTCTCCTGGTCCCCTTGAAGAAGGCAGGGGAACAGACCAGAAGGCATTTTAGGGATTTCCTAAGGAATCCCAGCAGAGCAAACAATGAGTATTTTTGTTGTTTCATGAGCCTAACAAGGTACTATCAACATCACCATGGCTCTGACCAGATTTTGGCAGTCTTTCTGTCCCCAAATCAAAATCACCCTCCTAAAAGCAAGGTTTGTCATATTTGTAATTGTTCCACAGAATATTCTCCAATGGTGAAGGGTTTCAGTAAAAGTATATCCAGTAACAGTTCTAGTAACAGCACCTTCAAGATCAAGTATTCTGAGGGACTCGCAATATACAGGAAGTTTTCCTTTTAGTATGGGTCAATGTACTTTGTCATCACTTGATCCCTCCTTCTATTTATCCTCTGAAGGCACGAGGACACCTCCCCAACCTCCTGCATGGAGGAGAGGCTCGAGTCTACCTGCTGGTGGTTACAGTTGAATGCTGGTAGCTGGTTTAAAAAATATCCTTCACAACCAAATTTCTTTATGAAATCTATACTCATTTGTTAAAAATGTCTACATCTATAACCTCTTAATCCACTAAATTTGGTTTCTACCTCTACCTTTCATTGTAATGGCTCTTTATAAAGTGGACAATGGTCCATTGCCCACCCAGCAGACATCTCCTCGGTGTGATGCTGGGCTTTCTTAGTCACTTCTTTCCTTTTTAGTCAGCTGGGACTTTCCTGTCCTTCCTCTTCTTACCTCTCTGCAGCTCCACTTGGTCAATCTCTTTTCTAGTTTCTTCCTTGGCCAACTTTTAAAATCCTGGCCTGTTTCTTCTCTCACTGGGCATTCTTTCCAGGGAGGTCACTTCTACCAGCACCATGTGCCAAGGTCCCCCACATCTTTGTCTCTAGCACACAATTCTCTTCAGATCCACATACCAGAACTGTCCTGTTGCTTCGGAGGACTTCTCATCTTCCCCCAGACCTCTTTAGGTCTCTGTAGGTCTGTTCTTAGCCAGTGGGCACTATTGTAAACTTAATTATTTAAATAAAAAAAACATGGAAATTATTCTCAGCATCCACTCTCTAGTTGTGTGACATTGGCTGAATAACTTAATCTCTCTCCCTCTCAGTTTCCTTATCTATAAAATAGGTATACGGGTTATTGTGTGAGATAATGGAATTAACATGTGCAAACTGATTAGCCTGGTGTCTAGCACAGAGGGGACCCCCACCCCCGCCACTGCAATCTGCTGTGATTATTTCTCTGGGCCAAGTGAGCAGGAGGAGCCTCATCCCAGGCTTCCTTCCTCACCTGAGTGTCAGCAGATGCAGAAGGCTGGGGGTGGCAGCAGTCGGCTGAGATCCATAGGGAGGTGCCCTGAAATCTAAGCATGGAGCTGGATCTGGTGGGTGGGACCCTCGGTGATAAAAGTTCCCCTTCAGATTAGGTTCACAGGACCTGGGATCTGCTCTCCCCACCCACAGGCAGGGTGGTCTCACTCTATCTTCCTTACAGGGCTAGGTGTGTTACATGATATAATACCCAGTATATAACATTGTATAGTATGCCTTTGAAATGGGAGGGTCCTTCTGTTCTCTTATAGTCATAGAATCAAATGTTCCTAAACTAACAGGAAGTCAGGGTTTTCCCTTTTCATTTGCCCTTGGACAAATGAGCTCCTTGACTTCTATATAATTCCATGTACTTGTCTATAGAACAGGCATAACAGCTCTTGTCTTACAGCTTACTTCCTTGGATTCTAGAAGAATTAACATATTCTGAGCACTGTACAAGGCTGCTATAGCAACAAAAGCCCTGTGGACCACATCTAGCCCTGATACATTAGAATGAGAAAGACCAAACTCAGCAGAGACGCAAGGGAGCAAACACTTCACCTGTTGCTGGTGGCACTGCAAATTGGCTCAGCCTTTCAGAAGAGAAAACTGGCAGCGTGTTGCTAGAGATACGCAACTGTTCATCCCTTTGGACTTATTGATTCCACTTTGGGAAATACTTCCCAAGAAAATTACACCTGCTCCTTCCCCATGCTCCAAGAAAGACACTTATAAAATTTTCCAAAACAAAGAAACAAAAAACCTACATATCTTTAAAGGGACTGGGGCACCTTATCACAAGACAATGGAAAGAAATGACAGGTGGGTGGACCATGTGGATGTGTCACAAGTGTGGAAGTGTGTTCAGTCTTCTCATTTGGAATGTGGGGAAAATGAGGATGTGCCAGGAGTTAACACGTATGGAAAGCACCCAAAAGAGTGTTGGGCACATTGGAAACACCAAATGCTTCTCTTGATGATGATGATGATGTCACCAAAAGTGAAAGGAATAAAAGGGAAATTACAAAATAGCATGCACATATGTATTAGCACAATTATATCAGATACTAATAATTTCTAGACTAGAATCAAGAGGATTGGAAAGTTTTAGTGATTAGTAGTTTCCTTCTGTTCCCCCCAACTTTATTGGGATATAACTAGCATATATTATTGTCTAAAGTATACAGCATGCTGATTTGACACACTTATATAGTGCAATATGATTACCACCGTGGTGTTAGCTAACATATCCCGCATGTTTGTGGTGAGAACGCTCAAGATTTATTCTCTTGGCAACCTTCAAGTATATAGTTCAACTTTGCTTTTTCTTTTTTATTGAATGTATTGGTGTGACATTGGTTAATAAAATTATATAGGCTTAGGTGCACAATTCTATATCATCTTTATATTGTATTATGGGTTCATACTCCATGTCAAGTCTCCTTCCATCACCGTCTATCCTCCCCTTTTAACCTCTTCTCCCTGCCCCCCTCTCACTGCCCCTTTCCTCTGGTAATCACCATTCTGTTTTCTGTGTCTATAAGTTGTTGGTTTGTGTTTTGTTTTGTTTTGTTTTTTGCTTAATCCCTTTACCTTTTTCAGCCAGCCCCACAACGCCCCTCCCCTCTGACAATTGCCAGTCTGCTCCATCTATGAGTCTGTTTTTATTTTGGTACTTTATGTTATTTTTGATTCCACATATGAGTGAAATATCTTACTTGTCTTTCTCTGACAAATTATTTTATCTGTAATCACAATGCTGTGCATTAGATTCCCAGAACATACTCGTCTTCCAACCGGAAGTTTGTACTTTTTGACAAACCTCAACCCTCAGCCCCTGGTAACCACCACTCTACCCTCTTCTTATAACTTCCATTGGTTCCTTTTTTTCTTAAGTTCATAATAGATCAAAAACTAAGTGAGTGAATAGGTATCTTCAAAACACTTGCTCTGAAGGCAAATTTAGCAATTTATGTGAAATAATTTTCTGGCTGCAGCCAGAGTCATTGATTAATTTCTAAGTAAACCAACAAGTCCCACCAGGACTGGGGTGCTAGAAACCCAGCTCTACTGGCTTTCCAGCTGAATAGCCTGTACTTAGCCAATGTGGCACCACGAGTAACAGAGGTCTCAGCTGAAGTCTCAAATCCTGTCCATTCTACCAAGCTGCACAACACTCTGTGGCTTCCCCAAATTAGGGGTTTCACCCAACTTGCCACATGCTTCCTGTGTAATTCAGTAGCTGAACATTTTCCTGGCAATGATTTCTATTTCTAACCCAGTGGGAAGGAGGGCGACCTCATACTCTTGAGAGAGGCCTTCCTTGGGCCTGCAGGATGAGCTGTACATCTTATATACCTGGATACTAGGGAACCCCACATGGAATTTAATTGGAGCCTTTTGAGGGGGAATGTTGGCATTTAAAAAGCAGGCCCTAATCCAAGGATACTTTCTTCTCCTGCCTGGGCCATGGGTGGTTCCCTCTTAGCTCATGTCCCTTCTCATCCATGACCGCACAGCAGCCAGGCTGAGGTTGCTCCTCAGTGTAGAGCCTTCCAATAACTTCACTGTGCTCTTAGAATATAACCTAAATTCCTCACCATGCATCTGTGTATGTTTCTCCCTCATCCTGCATGGCTCTTTCCTCCCTTCTTCACTTACCTAAGTCCTATTTATCTTTCAGGCCTTAGTTTGTGTCACTTCCTCAGGGAAATGTCCTTGGTCTACATTAGACCTGTTGGTTAAACATTCATCCTGCACTTTTGCTTAACACTCAACACTCATATAATTACTTGTCTCATATCCATTTCCATTTTCCCCATAGGATTAGGAATTCTGGGCAGGCAGCCATGTCTGAATCATGCCCACTGTCCTAGCCCAGTAACGGGCACATATATATTTGTTGTATGTATGGCCATATAAATGAACAAGTGAATGAAGAGGGAATAAATGAACAAAGACTGAAGGGCGACTTCCAGTCAAGATGGTAGTGTAGGCAGACACAGCTTGACTCTTTGCACAACCACAAGTAAATTACAACTAAAATATAGAACAACCATTGCTCGGAACCAACAGAAATCAAGTTAAATGGAAGTCTGACAACTAAAAAATTAAAGAAACCACATCCATCCAGACTCGTAAGAGGGGTGCAGGCATGGAACAGGCTGGTCCCATATCCATGTGTGGTAGATAAAAATTCAGGAGGGATATCTTGGGAGCAAGGAGTCCCAGCCCCATACCAGGCCCCCCAGTCCAGGATTCTAGTGCCAGGAAGATAAGTCCCTACAACTTCTGGCTGCAAAAACTAGCAGGGATTGAGTTGGTAGAATAAACTTCTGGAACCCCCAAGCAATTCTTTTTAAAGAACCTACACATGGACTCACCTACTCAGACTCACTCCCTCTGGGCTCCAGTGACAGGGTGGCTTGAGGGGCACCAGTGGCCCGCAGAGGGAGGCTGAGGTGTCTGGCGTCAAGGAGAGCAGAGGCTATTGTCCCTGTTCTGGGCCCTCCCCTCGTAGAACTGGCAGACTGGTATTGTATCTAAGATTCCATTAACCTGGCTAACACTGTTTGACTTGCCCTGGAGATTCCCGAAGACTATGCCCCACCCAACTTACAGGCCTACCCAAGCTGCATTCTCTCTTTTTTTTTTTTAATATTTTATTTATTTTTAGAGAAGGGAAGGGAGGGAGAAAGAGGGGGAGAGAAACATCAATGTGTGGTTGCCCCTCCTGTGCCCCCTGCTGGGGACCTGGCCCACAACTCAGGCATGTGCCCCAGAGTGGGAATCCAACTGATGACCCTTTGGTTAGCAGGCCAGCAGTCAATCCCTTGAACCACACCAGCCAGGGCCCAAACTGCTTTTCCATATGAATGGTCTTGGCTCATGCTTCATAACTTCCTAAATCCTCTCAAACAAGCAGCAGCTGGTCTTAGTGAGCCCCAGGCCCAGAATTTGCGGTCTAGATTCACAGTTTGGCTTCACCTGGAAATCTCCAAGCCCAGCACGAGTAGCAGACATCTCAAATTGTTTTATAACTCAGGCAGGGTGGCACCAGGCAAAACACAGGTGGGGACTGATCTTGGCCTGCACCACCCAGGAAACCTCAGGGGAAGCACACCAAGTGGACAGCTACAGACCATGTAGGAGCACCACAACTGTGCCCCTGATTCTCCACCAGGGTGGAATTTGTCGGTTAGTGGTCACAGACAATCCTTGCATCTCACCAGCCTGGGTAAATCCCTCCCATTGGTCTGCCAACAGCAATCAAGGCTCAATGACAAGAGGAGGGCATACTTAGCCCACAGGAAGGGCATACCTCAGTACTTAGCTTGGGTGATAGGGGAGGCTGAGCCATTGCACCCTATAGGACATTGATTACACTAGGCCACACTACCAAGACAGGGAGTCAAAGCAGTTCTACCTAATACATAGAAACAATCACAGGGAGGCTGCCAAAATGAAGAGACAAAGAAACATGGCACAAATGAAAGAACAGATCAAAACTCCAGAAAAAGAACTAAACAAAATAGGGATAATCAACCTATGAGATGCAGAGTTCAAAACACTGGTTATGAGGCTGCTCAAGGAACTTTGTGAGGATCCTTAATAGCATAAAAAAGATCCAGTCAGAAACAAAGGATACACTAATTGATATAAAGAACAATTTACAGGGAAACAACAGTAGAGTTGATGAAGCCAAGAATCAAATCAATAATTTGTAACGTAAGGAAGCAAAAAAAAACCAATCAGAATAACAAGAAAAGAGAATCCAAAAAAAAAAAACTGAGGATAGTGTAAGCAACCTGTGGGACAACTTTAAGTAATCCAACATTCTTCTCATAGGGGTGCCAGAAGGAGAAGAGAAAGAGGAAGAAATTAGAAATCTGTTTGAAAAAAACAATGAAAGAAATCTTCCTAAATCTGGTAAAGGAAATTTACATGCAAGTCCAGGAAGCACAGAGAGTCCTGAACAAGATGGATACAAAGAGGCCTACCCCAAGACACATCATAATTTAAATGCCAAAGGTTAAAGATAAAGAAATGGGGGAGTGGGTGTGGGAGAATGGGTGAGAGGTGAAGGGATTAGGAAATACAAATAGGTGGTTACAGAATAGCCATGGGAATGTAAAGTACAGTATAGGAAAGGGAGTTGCCAAAGAACTTACATGCATCACCCGTGGACATGAACAAGGGTACATTACCTTAGGGAGTAGGGCAACTGGGTAGAGTGGGGCTAAGGAGGAAAAACTGAGACAACTGTAATAGCAAAATCAATAAAATAAAATAAAATAAAATAAAATAAAATAAAATAAAATAAAATAAAATAAAATAAAATAAAATAAAATAAAATAAAATAAAATAGACTTAAGAGCTTAGGCCCTCTGGAATTGATCATGAATCTGGAATTTCCGCATTAAGTAGGGAAAGTGTGAGGATACAGGGTATTATCTGGGAAACCTCTGAAGTCACACCAAGCCCATGACTTAAGGGATGGTTATACACTTCTGCAATAAGCCAAGGTCATCGAAGGCAGCAGGCCTCCTAGAGCTCCAAGAACACTTACCTGCACTATCTGTGTGGCTCTTATTGGCTGTAGTTTTCATCATTTTCTCGCTGAATAAAAGAAACAGAGAGTTAGCTATATAGTTTCTAAAATGCCTTTTTTTTTGCCCCCTCCATTCATTATTCTAAGCAATGAGCAGCAGGTAGTGATGGTATCAAGCAATGAGGGTATTTTGGCATCAGCACCACTATTGGCCGGGACGGTAAAGGCTTCCCAGGTGTGCATCTGACACTGCCAGTGGAATGCAGCAGGTGGGCCCTGACGACTTTCAGATGATGGTGGATGTGGAGACGAGAGGATGGCGGCTGCAGGCACTGCGCAGTGGTCCATGAAGCCACATGCACTGGGAAGCCCATTTACCCTTCTTGGGCCAAAGTGTTACCTTCGGCCAAGAATTACCAGAAGAAAAAACAAACAAACAAACAAACCATGATTGAGAGAGATGTAAATATTTTCAGCCTTGAAATGATTACAAGAAAACAGATTTGAATGAATGAATTATCTTAATGATTAGAGAGAAACAGATTGAATTATTTTTAATTGATTTGCTTTCTTCTTTTTACCTAGATGCATCTTTGCTATTACTTGTGAGGGACCCTTTAAAAAGCGCAGACTGCACAAGGCCAGTTAAACTGGCAATCTGTTTCTCCATGGCTTGCATCCTCTCTCTGTAAAACAAGAGAACTGTTTGTTAAAGCTCTACTGACCTTCGGACAGGTTTGTCCAGGTGGATGATCATGTGAGGCTCATAAAAAGTACTACGTAGAAGGCCATCAGAGTGCACCCCGACCTGGCGCAGGGAATGTGAAGAACCTGCAAAGCCCTGCTGAGCTCCAGAGTCGATGATCTGAGTTGAGTATTAACCCAAAGATCTCACTGAAGAGATGCTGCACAGGCCTGCAAAGGCCTTCCGGAAAACTGAAAAGCGTTTCCTTCAGAAATAATTGTGTTTGCGTGCAGCAATTTTGAGCCTTTCTGCCCTGCTTTCACAATTTCACCTCTGGTACCAGTGGCGTCCTGGGCTACCTTTGGCCCAGAGGCAGAGGTGTCTAAGCTGTCCTCCTCAGTTAGGGGATCTGATGACTGGTTTCGGTGTAAATGATGGGGGTGTTTGTGTGTATGAGGGAAAATTTATTGTATCACCTGAGAGCAACACCAACGAACGTCTGAGCCTAAGGAAAAATGTGATTGAAATCAATGTCTGACTTGCAGGTGAGCTGTGCTCCATCTAAGGACATAGCGACTTTAACCTGGGGCTTTTGCAGGATCGAGCAAAAAAAGAAATATCCCTAACAATGCGGTCATCTCAAGATCTGAATGGAAAACCTTCCCAATTATTTACTGTGCAGGTACTGCACCTCTCTGTTCAGGGCTCTCTAACGCTTCATCACAATTCATTTGGCTCATGTTTCTGTGTCTGAGACAAGGGCAATTTCACAGAGCCATTACCGTTATTTTCAGGACATACAAACATCACAACAAGTGACCTTCCTCTGCTGGCTAGAGGCAGAGGACATCACACGCGTTGCAGCATGCAGATTCAGTAACACTTATTGGGGAGTTTGAAACAATAAAGGGAGGTAGGGGAGGGCAGCCTGAATAGTGTGGGCACCTGGCCTGTCATTGCACCCCATGACAGGGTCCCACATGAGCTGTGACAGAGAAGGCCCCCACTCTTCACTGTGGTCAGTCCCGCCAACCTCTCATAGTGTGAGCAATGGCAATTCCTGTGCTACAAACACCAAGTTCATACAGGGTGGCCTTTACGGACAAGCAAACTATTGTATCTGGTGCCCAATGGGAAGAAGTCGTGGCGGTCTGTATATTCCCTTGAAAACAGTACCTAGTTAAGTTGAACTTATTGAGAGATGCTGTATCTGTATTTTATACTTCATGGCAATTGAGAAAACTTTCAAGGGTAATTTTGTCCATGCACAACTTTTTGGCCTTGTGTTTTGCCTTTAGAATATGAAACATTGAGCTTAGTTTCACAATTACAAGCTTCTGACTTCTGAATTCCATGCATTTTCTTTAGTTCAGCGGTCCCCAACCTTTTTGGCACTAAGGACGGGTTTCATGGAAGACAATTTTTCCACGGATGGGGATTATGGGGGGGAAATGGGGGGCCAGGGAGGATGTGGGGCAGGGGACAGGGGACAGGAGGCAGAACTCAGTCAGTAATGCTTGCCTGCTGCTCACCTCCTGCTGTACAGCCTGGTTCCAGTCTGTGGCCCAGGGGCTGGGGACCACCGCTTGAGTTTAAAATGGATGGTTCTGTCAGAATACTGAGTTCCTTAGACATAAGTCATGTAGTCTAAATAGTTAATGGCTATACACCAACTAAGGAAAAAGAAACAATTTAAGTATGAGTAGTATGATTTCTTTTCTCCAATAGTGTGGGGAGGAGAAGTCTCAAGCAGTGAGAGCGGAAGTGCTCGCCCCCTCCGTGTAGTGACTTTCCATGTGTTTCCAGGTATAGCAATGAATGCCAAACCCCTGGGCTGCAAAGCATTTGCTGTCACACCTGTGCCTCTGGTCTCCTCTCTGACGAAACACAGTGCATGTGCCAAAGAGAAAAATTAGTAAGAAACTCCACTCAAGAAAGCAGGTTAGTAAATACCCAAAGGATACCCCGAGTTCCTAGGACCCATCGTTATGGCATCTCAGGGATGACTGAGATGCCATAGCGATGGTTGTGCTGCTGCCATGTGGGAGGCACAGACTCACACAAATGGGCTCTTGGAAAGGAGTGAGTTCCATGGGGCCCAGCTGAGCACAGAGTGAAAGTTGTCCAGTGCCCTGTTCTTCCCACGGTAATGCAGGAAGTAATACACTCATGGCCCTCCGAGTCGAGGTGCATTCAGGGCCACCTCAAAATGTACTCGTTTATTGTTCTTAGCCAATGATGGGCAAATGCAAGGATTTCCTTCTCTCTCTTTTCTTCCTTCCTTCTTTCTGTACTCCCTTCCTCCCTTCCTTCCTTCCAAAAAGCAGCATGACATTCTTAAGGTCTAGACAGCTTTGGTAAGGAAGCAACTTAATGGGTTCCATGAAGTTGGAGTGTGGGATAGGAAGGCATGGGGACAACCTAACTAACTACACACAGGTGGCAGTACTAGAGAGAAATGTAAGAATAGGTAAGTCTATGACTGTAGAGAGTAAGTGAGACTCTGACGCAAGAGAAATGGCAGAAAGGATTCCAACATTGGCTCTAGGCACAGCCCAGATTAGGGCTAAATCGGTATCCTTTCTGATCCCTCTGGCCAACAGCTTTCATTACCTTGTCTAAGAAAGGAGAGCAGTAGCATTAAAAACCAAAACAAAGCACCTGGATTATTCCAGATTCAGGACATTGTTCTCCAACAGATTCATAATGGGGGTTAGAATTTGCACAATGTTACAGCACAGGCTGGGTCATCTCCCCATGGGTGTCCATAGGGTGGCATTTTCCTTGGCTCAGCGGGTACTTGGCCTTTTGATGCACTTCCCCAGATAATGGTTTTAAGGTGCAGAGAAAGACAATCCCCAGATCAAACCCACTCTTCTTACTCCTCAGTGATCATGCCGACATAGCTGTGGAACTTCCAGGGATGAAAGTCTGGATGCTTTGAGGGAAAGGACCTATATTCAGTCCAGGTATCCACACCCTCAGTTCTCCTTTTTGCACCTGTGAGGATGGAGGTAAATGCTCCCTGGGTGGCCTCCTCCAGGCTGTGTCACAAGCTGGGCCACCAGGAAGTAGACCTGATCTCTCAGAACCTTTTAAGGGTTCAGGACACTTGAGCTTGACAGTCAAGGGGGAGCAGTTCTCTCCCATTGCCCAGGAAACGGTGGGTCCTGCACGAGGCCCAGGTGGTGTGCTCACCAATTGCACACGTGTGTTCCGTGGCCTCAGCCAAAACCACGTCACAAAAATACAATGCTTTGACATGTGGGAATGAGAAAACTTTTTCCTTCCTATTTAATCATCAAAGTGTTTCTGGTTTCAGGATTCATTTGAGGGAGATTATCTGATTTATAAATTCATAAATAAGATTGTCTTTCCATTTCATGGTTGGTAATCTGGAAACAATTTTATGGTTTAACTAAATTACAGCAACTGGAAACTTATGCAGTCTTTGCCCATGATGAAATGTCATGAAGTAGATTTTAATGTGAAAGGAAAAAAAGTGAAATGCAGTGGAAGAAGAGAAATTATATACGACCCTGTCATTTTATTACAGGGGCAATTTTGTATAATAATCGTCAGAATATTAAGGATGCTTAAACTGATTCTTGCCAATATTACTTGGTTTAAGGTATTACAGGACTGGTATAATTACTGTTGAAAAGATAGTTTAAAGTGATTTCATAAACCATTTTCTATCATTCCATAAACCATATTTATGGGATTACTATGTATGGTTAACTAGTCATTTAGTGCCGTAAGTCAGCCTGGATGAATGAATCTTTTCAGGACCCAAGCATAATATTGATAAAAATTCAAGTCCAAGTCCAGGTGAAGTGCTGATTCTAGTGTGTAAATTCCTGCTGCTACAGTGGGCTTTCCTGCGAGCCCGTCTGTCTGTGAAGAAGACGAGCAAGACCTCTACTGTGTGCAGTCCGCTCTCTGTCTTCAGAGTAGAAAAGGAAAAAAATTGCATTTGAGGGAATAATTCTTGGCAGTAACTCCTTTTACACAACGTTTTTGACTCAAGTTTTCACCTTCAACATTGGACTTGTCTTCGTTCTGACCGAGACCTTATTAAGCCTGAATTAAGTCCTTATCATTGCCTATCTGAGTAAATTAATGGCTATTAAAAAACAAGTCAAGGCTGTAACAAGTCTGAGACTGGTAATTCCCCTATAATGAAACCCTTAAGCTATGCTTTTAAATATCCAAAACAAGTGCTGGGGAGCCAGCTGAAACCAGCCAGCCCAGCTGAGGATGGATTAGGACCCTGGGCTAGGGCACTCACCTTCCCAAGGAGTCACTAACTTTGAAACCCGGTGGTGCAGGATGGTCAGTAACAAGGATGATAACCAGGGCCGCAGGGCTGAGAGTACTTTCTAGGGGGTCTATCATTAATATTGTGTGATTTCCCACTCCCTGCTCATCCCTGTCATCTCTCTCTCCCCAGAAAGTGATGAATGGTCAACATGTCATCCACAAATGTTTTTGGGCACTGAAGTCATGTCAGGCACGGTGCAAGCTGCTGTGAACACAGCAGTGAACCAAGTATCATTCTTAGGCAGCACCTTCCTTTCACAAAGTCACTTTCTTTTTTCTGAGAGAAATCTAAGTGAACTAAAACCCATGAGTCTTGGCAGTGCCAAAGGCATTTTCCAGAACTGAATAGTGAACAGGCTTAAAGCGAGGCTATGCCGTTGTTTGCTCATGCCCTGACTCTCCGGTATGAGGGAGAAAAACCAAATTAAAGACCCTGTTTTCAGATGAGTTCAACAGAACACTGGAATTCAAATGATGTGAACTAGAGGCAAAGCCTCAAATAGGACTCTGAGCAGCAAACTTTCTATTTCTGCCCCACTTTAACCTACTGGTGAAAGAACTAGACAACTGAAGACCTTATTCCCAAAACTCCCAACACATGTAACTTCTCATTGAAACATCCAGATTTACTGAGGAGATACTGACGGGAGCTGGTGCTGACTGCAATGGGCTACAATG